AGTCATTACATAGATATTGTTATAAAAGGAAACACTGTATAATATTTCTATAAACGTTAAACAAAGTTAAGAATAATAACTGTATAGTATTGTAAAGTTGTGATGACCTATTGAGGATATATTTAACATACCATTTCAAAGAACAATCCGAACAGTCCTCACATAGGCAGTGCTGCCACCTGTCTGATACAGGATTTGAAAAACATACAATATTGTCTTCTGAATACTTAATAAGAATAAATTAGTAGAATCAATGCTTCATGATCTCATACCATATATAAATATAGGTTCACTGTGGTTAGTAAAAGACAAATCAAAACACCAACCAGATATCATGAGTTATCAATAATTTTATATTTAGAATGAGTTCATATAATACTTTTTACACAAATCTCTTTTTAAGTACTCCAACCTACTCTTACAGCAGCAAAAAAGGTTTGCTCCAAGTATTTTTTAGACAGTTTCCTTCACTTGTCGGGGTTACCGCCACAACCTTCCCTTCTAAATAAATCACAGAAAAGATAACAGGACAGTTGCTGCACACTGGGAACGCGTTATTTAAAAATAGATGTACCGGTGAGTTTCTCATCTCTGTTTATCTTACTCACTGAAGTAGACGTACATTTTTTTCCTGGAATATTTGTTTATAGATAAACTCTAGTGTAAGTTCTTTTTTTTCTAAGTTATTCTTGGCAGGGTAAGTTGTCAGAAAAGGAGATATCTTAACCCTAGCGCTGAAGTTTGAAAATCTAACTGGGAGTTTTATAATTATTATATTTAATATATTCAATAATTACATAAAGTAACATTATATTCGTTACATTCCTTTTATCGCTTTACTGTTTTCTAATTATAAGACAAACTGTATTAAATTATCTCGAAATTTCAATGAAAATTAAAAAAATATACTTATCTCTAAATTTGAATAAATTCGGACACACTCTCAACTGCTACATGTTGTAATATTCCAGTCTGTTTTTTTAAAGCGACACACTCTCAACTGCTACATGTTATGTCGCTTTAAAAAAACAGACTGGAATATTACAGTTTCAACTGATATTAATTTTAACTAAGAAAAAAGAATAAGATGATTATTTTTGTAAATCATTAATTAACAGCCGCAAGTTTCATTAGCCTTTAGTAGCATTTCTACCAAGAGGAGGGAAAAAAACAGCTGTATCGTTATAATTTTGGACTCCTCTGTAATTTTTGATCGACAATTTGTCATTTCTGTCCTGTGGAGCCCGAATAATGACGTTTCTTTTAATAATTAAAATAAAATAAAAGTTTTATCCCAATGAAGCTTCAAAATCAGAACCAGAAGATATATTCGGATTTTTTTTATTTCAGTATTGTACTCGAATTTTTATTAAGAACGTTTTTCTAACAGAAAAAGAAAAAAATATTTATACACTTATTTTTAGAAAGTGATATAAATTTTTACGAAGATCTTACAATTCATAATTCTGTAAAGCAACTATTTAATAGTCTCATTTTAGGCCTGTAATATAGATTCGCGCATTTTTACCGATCTCAATCATTGGAGCATGGAATTTGTTTGACGCTGGTCATTGGCCAATTTCTCAAGACTACTACAATAATAACAAGAATGCCCCCCCCCCAGTGGTAAAGCGGTATGTCTGCGGTCTTACAACGCTGGAAACCGGGTTTAGATACCCGTGGTGGGAAGAGCACAGATAGCCCTTTGTGTTTAACTTCAAACAAAACAAGAATACATATACCTGTAAGTAAGTTTAACTCCTTCTTGATACACTGAAGTTCAATGCTGCCTGTTTAACACCACTTGTGGGTGGTGACAAATTTAATACATTTATCTATAAAATGCTTATCAGTTGTGTTTTCTTTATTTAGAAAAATACAGTTGATTGTAACTCAATATTCAGTTTTAAAGATTAAACAGGATTGTAAACAAAATTAAATTAACAATGTTAGATGAAAAATACAACTTTACACAAGAAACATACATATTTGAATTTTGAAACTAGTTTTACTAAGTTTGTCTTTTGTTAAGCACAAAGCTACTTGATGGGCTATATATGATCTGCCCACCGCTGGGCTACCAAAGGTGGATAGTTTTAAAAAGAAAGAAGTTACAAGATTTTTCCATGTTTAACAATGGACAAAGAATACAAATTGATTTTAAAATATGAATTTAAAACTTTGTATTTTTAAGTCGGTTTTTCTTAAATCCACAGGCCATTGTTTCGTAAAATCCTTTGGCCACACGAGCAGTGGCAAACGGAACAGCGAAAGGGATGGGGAAGCGACAAACACAAATTACACGCTACAATGATTTGGATCGGCAAAAATTCAGCCTAATAGATTACGTTAAAACTGCAATTACCAAACGTACTTAGGAGAAGTGTTTAATACAATAACTCTCTAAATCCGTAAAGTTAGGTTCTTACCTATTACGAGCAAGATTAGTCATAAACCTGTATATGTTAGTTCTTTAATAAAGGTATAAACTGTCCCATATGAAACCTTAGCATAACTATATAAAGAAAACTGTGAATCAACAAATGCAAGTAAAGATACGAGCTGCACGATTCTTACAGGTCAGGTATCTTTTTCCCTGTCGTTCTGATTGTCAAGCCACAAAGACAAGAGATATGGTCTAACGAAACGATGAATATTTTGGTTATGAGATTTAACCGACGAGACACTAAACTTCCAAACCATATGCTCAATGACGTATTACTTATAAAATACACAATGTCTGAAGTTATGGCACTTTTCAAGCATTTTATCTGACCTGGTTTAAAATAAATATATAATTAACATTCCTTCTCATATTAAATGTCAAGAGAACCTAATTTGATTTAATAACAAACGATAAATCGCTGAACTACGTATCAGTTTTGAAAATCATGTTAACTTATCTACTTGAAATTCCAAGTCACAAGTGTGAACAATAGCATTTCAGATCTCTCTCTTATCGACTCAAAGTCACTAGCCAAGGGGCATTTCGTTCAGTACCAAAATGTATAAGTTGGGTTGGACGATGAGAGACAAAAGATTTTCTGAAGCTTTATTGATACATACAGCATAAGTGTTACCAGTCGATTTCCTTAACACATGCCATCTGTCTATGTATGGAACGGAATTTAAGAATCAATAGAGTACCAGATAAACAGGTCAGATACTACCCTACCAGAACTAGCAATAGATCAGCGCGACATCTATGAGCCAAGTACAAAAACAGACACACACATTTGGCGTACCTTTATTTCACCAGCTTGAAGAGTCAGTAAGCAGTAGTCTGGAGGGCCAGCAGCTAGGAAGAGTAGGGCGTCAGCACGATGAGTCTTGAACCTGAAGAAGATATCGGTGTCACTGGAAGCATCTTGGACTGGCACAAACACGTGGCTAGCACCGTAGAATGAAGCTGTGATTAAAACAAAAACTTTCTACAAATAGTACTTTAAGCATTATTAGGCCTAACATCCTTACCGAATCTTACAAATGGCGCGAACAATGATTGGACTCCTATAAGGAAGCTTTGAAAGAAAGCCTGCTTTCTACACATAATTACAGCATCTGTGTTGTTAGGCCTAACATTATTACTTAAATTTTACTGCGCGGTAAGATCAGTTCTTTTAAATGTCATGTAAGCTGACATCATTAGTATTTATAGACTTAATGACTGATTGAACTTGACCCTTTACACACACACATATATTTATGCGTACAAAAAAAAAACCTCAGCTGAAAAGTAGCCATTGCTCAGAGTATACGATACTAGAACAGTTTATTCATAACAATGCCTACAGCTATATGAACTAAAATTATAATGATATAATAATAATAATACCCCTGGTGAGAAAAAATGAAATTATTATAGTAAAATTGCATTTTCCATAACATAGTTTAATGCATAATATGCATTGTTTGTTTGAAGTTAAGCACAAAGCTACACAAAGATCTATCTGTGCTCTGCCCACCACGGGTATCGAAACCCGCGTTGTAAGTCTACAATGCTGTAAGCTTTCAAGTAAAATGTACGAATAGCTTGCGTTACAGGTTTAGCAGCATAATTTTTTAAGCATGACTATTTTTTTCTGATGCTGATACAATTCACAGTCAGCTTAAAATAGTAAAATGATGGCTTTTGTAAATCTGTGGTTTTGTTCATAATTAAAGGTGTTTTAACAACATACAAAATATGATTAGACAGAGATTTTGAGGCGACATAATTATAAAAATTTTCACAATCTATTAAACATTGTTAGTATTTCACAAAAGTTATTTTTTATTTTACAGTGTTGTAGTCAAATGGTTTTCGTCAGGTAACTGTGGCTTGTAGGGAAACGGATTTACATCATACATTGTCAGATAACTGTTATTTATATGGAAACTCGGATTTATATCATGAATTGTCAGGTAAATGTGGGTTATAGGGATTTATATCATACATTGTCAGATAACTGTTATCACGAAATGTCAGGTAACTGTGGTTTATAAAGAAATTCGGATTTATATCATGTATTGTCAGGTAACTGTGGCTTATAGGGAAACTCGGATTTGTATCATATATTGTCAGGTAACTGTGGTTTATAAAGAAATTCGGATTTATATTATGAATTGTCGGGTAACTGTGGTTTATATGGAAACTCGGATTTATATCATGAATTGTCAGGTAACTGTGGTTTATAAAGAAATTCGGATTTATATCATGAATTGTCGGGTAACTGTGGTTTATATGGAAACTCGGATTTGTATCATGTATTGTCAGGTAACTGTGGTTTATAGGGATATATATCATGTATTGTCAGGTAACTGTGGTTTATACGGATATATATCATGTATTGTCAGGTAACTGTGGCTTATAGGGATTTATATCATGTATTGTCAGGTAACTGTGACTTATAGGGATTTATATCATGTATTGTCAAGTAACTGTGGCTTATAGAGATTTATGTCATGTATTTTTACGTAACTGTGGTTTATAGGGATATATATCATGTATTGTCAGGTAACTGTGGCTTATAGGGATTTATATCCTGAATTGTCAGGTAACTGTGACTTATAGGGATTTATATCATGTATTGTCAGGTAACTGTGACTTATAGGGATTTATATCATGTATTGTCAAGTAACTGTGGCTTATAGAGATTTATGTCATGTATTTTTACGTAACTGTGGCTTATAGAGATTTATGTCATGTATTTTTACGTAACTGTGGCTTATAGAGATTTATGTCATGTATTTTTACGTAA